ATAGAATAGAATAGAATAGAATAGAATAGAATAGAATAGAATAGAATGTGTGATTGGCCAAGTGTGATCGGACGCACAAGGAATTTGACTTGGTGCAAATGCTCTCAGTGTACACAAAGAAAAAATAAAATGCACTCAGCAAGAATGATAAGATACAACACTTAGTGATAGTCATAGGATACTAAATAAGCAATCAAATCATACTAGGAAACAAATAAAACAATATAATTGTAAAGATATAAGCAACAGGGTTACAGTCATAGGTGGGAAAAGATAGGGAATAGGAAGGATGACAATAATAATAATTCAGACTTTGTAAATAGTTGGACAGTGTTGAGGGAATTAGTTGTTTAGCAGAGTGATGGCGTTTGGGGAAAAACTCCCCTTGTGTCTAATTGTTCTGGTGTGCAATTCTCTATAGCCTCGTTTTGAGGGAAGGAGTTGAAACAGTTTATGTCCGGGATGTGAGGGGTGTGTAGATATTTTCACAGCCCTCTTTTTGACTCAGGCTGCAGGATGCAGGTCCTACATGGAAGGCAGGTGAGTAGTAATTGTTTTTTCTGCAGTCCTAATTACCCCTCTGGAGTCTGTGTCTGTCCCGTTGGGTTGCAGAGCCAAACCAACCAAGCCATAACTTAACCGGAGTGATTCACTTAACAGCCGTGGCAAGAAAGGTCACAAAAAAAATGGGACAAAACTCCCTTCGCAACTGTCTCGTTGAGCCACAGAAATTTTGTTTGCTCAATGGTGTTCATTCATAAGGAGGGAGGCACTTTGTAAAAGATTACCTTCAGTTACTTGTTCCTTCATTAAAAGTCATTCTCGGGTTTTAAAACTCGAACCAAACGTTGGACACACGCTCGTCAAAACCCATCAGGTGGGAAAGACCAACCGAGTTGACAGCAAAGGGACGGCATTGCAAGAACCCACCCACCCACCCGAGGTGGTATTCAGCCAGTTCTGGAGAACCGATAGCGGAAATTTTGAGCAGTTCGCAGAACCGTTGAATACCACTTCTGATTGGCCCCGCCCCCATCTGTTCTCCGCCTCCCATCAAGTCCCAGCTGATTGGCTGGGTCTCCTTTGGTTGCCCTGCACAGGAGAACGGAGCTGGAAAGCAGGTGAGTGGAGTGGAGAGAGAAGGGGGATTTTGCGGTAACCTTCCCCCCTGCCATGCCCACCAAGCAGAACCGGTAGTAAAAAAAAAAATTTTTTTGAATGCCACCACTGCCACCCACCCACATCCACAATTAAAAAAAAGGAAGCGTCACCTCGTGACAGATTCGGCGTTGTTCAATATAGGTCATGAATTGCGTGCTGAGGCTGTCTGACTCTGGACATTTGGCTTGCCTGACTTCTTCCTCCTCTTCCTCGGTGGCACAGCTGTCAATAAAGTCGATTTGATCCAGATCTTGCTCCGCTGGAAGGGAAAGAAGTTTATGACATCAGGCACAACCAGAAGAGCCGAGTCTCAAAAACAAAACAAACTGCTGCAACATCCTTATCTGGGTTTCTCTAAACAGGAGTTCTGCCAAAAGAGACATTTTCCACCCTGAAAGATAAATTTCACTGGAAGGAGAAGGAAAGAAAAAAGAAAGATTAAACCTCCCAACTAACTACCAAATTGGAAGGTTTAATGGCTACCAATGAAACCAGAAATGAAGGATTTATAGCAGTTCACAACAAGAGTTCAGGGTGTGTGTGTGTATGTGTGTAATCTTTGCTTTGGCACAGAAGAATTCATTTATTTGAGAGTAACAAGATTATCACTTGGGTGGCAATCCTAAAATCACGTTTTACAGAATGCGGTTGATCCAGGTTTTTTTTTTTTATCATCAAGGGCTTTTAAACGGTCACTTTTTCCCAGATTTTTACAAGGAGGAATTTCCTGACAGCGAGAACAGTCAACCAGCAGAACCTCTGTTTCTCTTTCTCTTCTTTCTTTCTGATTCTTGTTAGTTTATGTTAGTTTTTATTGGTACGTTTTGTAAAACGTTTTAACACAATTGTTGCAGTCAACAAATTATTTCCTGCGCTAGCCAAGGACTCATGGAAAAAGCTATTATTAATGTCCTGAGCACACAGGAGCCAGACCCAAGATTTAGCGGATATTTTGGCAACTGCAGGACTGTTCTTTTTTGAACTTCAGCAGAGTGCTGGAAGCACAAAAGTTGAAAGGTGAGGATGCAACCAAATGAAAGCCAGCCATTTGCCCGGGGTGTCTAATAAAACGCCGCTCTATTTCATCCTTCGGTTGACTGGGCCTACAATTAATCCCACAGCCAAACCGCTACGCCAAGGAACTGAAAACGGATTATATAGCTTTTAAAACCATGTCCCAAAAATCACGGTCCTCAAAACCATGTTTTTTTCAAGAGGCAACTGGATTTTCCTGTTTTCTTTGAAGATGTTTTGCTTCTCATCCGAGAAGCTTCTTCAATTCTGACTGGGTGGTGGGGAATGGCACAATTGAACAACCCTCTCTCAACAGAGGGGAGAGGGCTAGGATATCATCTATCTACAACACAGTCCTTCCATCAGGTCCAAGGAGGATCCATACTCATTTCCACCACTCAGGTGGCCCTAAGGACACAGATAAACCTCCAGGTGGCCTCAAGGACCCTCTAAAAGTATGCAAATGATCTGTAAGGAATATAAATCCTTCTCTTCCCCACCATTCTGCCAGAGCTGAAGAAGCTTCTTGGATGAGAAGCGAAACATCTTCAGAAGAAAAACCAGAAAGCCCAGTTGCCTCCTGAAAAGGCACCTTTGGGACAACCATGACCAGGAGGACTGAGAATCTCCATAGACTTTTAAAACCATCCAGTTATTGTCAAGGCAAAGGTAGTCCTCATTTAGCAACCATCATGGGGAGCCGCAAAGCGGTCGCTCTGTAACCACAACTATGCATCTGATCGGACTTTCTGTTGGTTTACAAACTGCCAAGGATGGGTCACAAAGTTTTTTTCACTGCTGTTGTCACTGCAGATAGTTGTTCGTGGTCACTCAGTGAGGACTACCGGGATTAGCAGATCATTTGTTTAAGACAGAGGTCCCCAAACTTGGCACCTTTAAGACTTGTGGACTTCAACTCCTAGAATTCCTCAGCCAGCATAGTTGCAGTTATATTTATATATAGTTATATTTCCCATAAATGGGAGTGGCTGAAGAAAAGTGGCCAGTTCAAAGTTTTATGTGCTTTTATTTAATTTTCAAGGCACCCTGAGATGGTAAAATACTTCAAATATATAAGGATATTTCTAGCTCAGAATTGAAGTGTCCTTGGTGCTCTGAACATCATTTTCCTGCAAACATTTTATTACCAAGTTAGGTAATATCATCAGTGCTAGAAGGGAGTGTGGTTTCTTGGGTAATGAAACATCTGCAAAAAAAAACAGCCAAGCTCAGAGAGTAAGGACCAACACGCTTCAAATATATCTATTTAATTCTCAAATCTTCTCATCTTCTCAAAAATAGCAACAGGGTTCAGTTTAACATGCAAAATCTCAAACACACGCCCCCTTAAAGTCTGCCTTTGGAAGGAAGCCACCAAATGAGCGCTATTACCTCCACCATTTGTCACTAAGGAGCTCCCTCTGTGTTCTTGATAATGGCTCTCTCTTCTCAACCTCTGTTCTTTCGTGATCTCTGCCACTCGCAGAGGAAGGTCAGAAAATTCATCTGTCGGCTGCATTAAAAATAAAAATAAAGCCCCCTTTAATATTTGATGAAACCTTGGAGACGGAACCTTTATAAGTCTTTCCTGGAAAAAGCTGCACTTACGTCAACGGAGAGTTTTAAAAATACGTACAACCCAAACAGTACATACAAGATTTATTACTAGCAAATAAAAATTTACTCGGCAGCAAAATTCAATTCTTAGGTTTTATCTCTCGGCTCCGTTCAGTGGATTTCTTAAGGACACCTAAAACTGAATGTCAGAAAAATGGCAGAAATCTACCACAGACTTGGGGGAATTAGGATCCACTTCAAAGGATTTTCCTTGTTTTTGTGTATTTGGACAGCAGTTCAACTGGGACAAATGTACTTTTATTCCTATTGTTGTGGTTCGCTGGACAGCAGCGGAATCGGACAGTGGGGAAGAAAGGGGACCAGTCCGGGAGTCTGGAGAGGACTCGGACGAGGGTCCTGCGTCTGATGCAGAGATGGGGCCAGGACCATCTGGGAGTGGGGTGCTGACTCCGGAGCCTCTGGAGTCTGGCAGCAGCAAGGAAGCTGAAACAAAAGGGGCAACTCGGGAATAAGGCTGGGAAGTGATTGCCCCTCCCATAAGGGATAACGGACAGGCAAAGGTAGAGAAACCTTTGCAGGAAGCAACGTCGTTCACTCTGTTCGGATTAAACCTTGAAGCTCTGGGCGGACATTGTACTCTGTTTGGCTTTTTTACAGTTAATTTGGCACTTTAGTTGTTGGCAGCAATTCAAAGGAGAGAAAGGGTGGGTGCTTATCTCGAGGGACTATTTGGGACTCATTACAGGCTGGGAATGAACATTCCCAGCGTTGAAATAAAGCAAGAGTTATTTTGACTAAGCATGTGCTTAATTACGATCTCAGGAAGCCTTGGTCAGAACAGCTATCAACAAATATTTCAACCTGCCGCTTCCAAGTTCTCACCATTAGAGTAACAATTTCAATTTATTCGATTTCAGTACTATTATTGGGGGAGGGGAGGGAGGAGGAGACGACCCTTCTCTGAAAGGGAATGACATCAATGAACTAAACCAAATTTGAAACGACCCTTCTCTCTTTTTTCCTTTTCTTTGCAACTGTCTTCGCTTGACTGGAGTTTTATTGGAATCAAATATTTGACAGCTTCCTGCCTCCTTGACGTACGCGATAAGTGGCATAAATGGATGCTATTGATCAGTGGCTTCCCAGCTTCCAATTTTTTTTTGCAATTTTAGAGACAAAAGTGAGACACGAGAGCAAAATAAGATGTTTCAAGATTACAGCCCTCTGAAATGCCAGATTCTGCCTTGTTCCGCCTCCTTTTCTCCTAAGCTACAATTATCTGCCAGCCGAACGCAAACCAAGCACCCTTACTTCATTTCCTGACCACCTCTTATCTCCGCTGTCTACGCTGTTGAACCCGGAATCCAGTGCTCCGTACGGTCGACTCGAATACAAATCTTCGTGGCTGTCAAAAGAGAGAAAGAAAGGAGAAATTCTTGGGGAAACATCTGATATCAGGCAGGAATACAAAGGACACATTTGACCCTTTCTGGCTGCTTTCTATGCCGAAGGTGATCCTACAAGAGAGGCCTTGTTCTTACAACAGAAATATTTTTTTCTACTTTTCCTCCTAACGCTATTGTGGCACTTCTACTAGCTTGGGATATTACATGTAGAAGCATTAGTCAACTGTGTAAGGCAGGGTGTGATGGCTCGGGGTGTGGCACAAAGGCAACACAGTCAAATAAGCAAGAAGAGTCTCTTTATTATCTCCAACTTTGCCCCCAATGTCCAATTTACCTTCGGATGGAGAAAAACTCTCCCAGGAACAGCCTTTAAGTGGAGGAAATTCAATCCGAAAACAAAATACATACAAACTGTAACTAAAAATCCAAACAAACCACGCTGCAGTAATTAACTTGACAGGGCAGGAGAAGGAATTGCAGACTTGAAAGCACAGCAAAACACACACAGTTGGGAAGACGCCAGATAAATTCACAATTTGCTCCCAATAGCTTGCTGCATGCAGCTTCCTTTTTTAAACACTGTGTTCCCACCTGCAGCTAATGAAGGGAATCAGGGCCCTTTCCTTCCCCGTAAGCCATGCAACCCACATTGCTCCCTTCTCCGTTCTTCCCTGCATGCCCTAGGATGAAGAGGGGATGGGCCTGGGTCTTCCTCTGAACTCCCTCTCCCTTGTTCTACCCCTCCCTTGTTCTGCCAAGCCGGACTTTACCCCTTCCCCAGTTTTCTCCACAGCCAACGGCGCCACGCTCCCACTCCCTGTCAGCTGTTCAGACTCCCTCTCCAAATCAGATTCCGACAGGGGCATCACACAGGGATCCCCAAACTTGGAAACTCTGGACTTCAACTCCAGAAACCCAGAAGTCTTAAAGTTGCCAAGTTTGGAGACCTCTGGTGTAAGCTATCAGCCATCTGGTATTTTTTATTTTATTTTATTATTTTATATGTTGGGTTGTATTGTATTGTATTTTACTATTTTATTGTTTTATTTTTTTTTGTATTGTATTTTACTATTTTATTTTATTTTACTACCCATCACAGTCAATGACTGGGCAGCTTAAGTTCAAATTAACTTGCAGGCACTGCCATCTTTTCACTAGACCGGTAGTCTTCGACTTACAACCACAACTGAGCCCCAAATTTTGGTTGCTAAGCGCGTCAGTTATTAAGTGAGCTTTGGGCCCCATTTTACAACCTTTTGTTTTGCCACAGTTGTTAAGTGAATCACTGCAATTGTTAAGTTAGTGACACGGCCGTTAGGTGAATCTGGCTTCTGCCCTGACTTTGTGAGACGGGGCGCTGCAACGTGACCCCTGGATGCTGCAACGGTCATCTATACATGCCAGTTGCTGAGCATTTGAGTTTTGATCACATGACCGCAGGAATCCTGCCACAGTCGTTAAGTGTGGAAAAAACAGTCCTAAGTCACTCTTTTCAGTGCTGTTGTAACTTCAAATGGTCACTAAAGGAATGGGAACAACACTTCACTGAGTGACTGTTCAAAGTTACAAGAGCACAAAGTTACAACAAAGTTACAAAAGGACCATTTTTCACACTTATGACCGTCGCAGCATCTCCGTGATCACATGATCGAGATTAGAATACATCGCCTTTTGTGACTCCCCCCCCCCAACAAGCAATGTCCGTGGGGAAGCCAGATTCACTTAACGACGGTGTGACTAATTTAACAACTGTAGTGATTCGCTTAAGAAATGTGGCAAGGAAAGAAAAAATCGTAAAACGGGGCAAAACTCACATCACAAATTTCTCACCTAGCAACAGAAAGTTTTGGGCTCAACTGTGGTTGTAAGTTGAGGACTACCTGTACTTAAATTCACCAAATCCCGGAGATCCATCTCCAGTGAGCTCAAGACACGCCAGCTTTTATCTGGTGTGGGATTCTACCGGTTCGGACGGGTTCGGGTGAAATGGACGTTAAATTTGCACCGGGTTCACCAAACCGATATTTGAACCAACCAGCTGGCCCCTCCCACCCCGCTCCTCCGCTCCCAAGAGTCTTCACGTGGCCCATTTTCAATGTAGGTAAGTGCATAAAAAGGCTCTGGGAGGGGGAAAAACGGGCCTTCCGGAAATTTGGATACGGGCCTCTTTCCGCTTCTGGAGGGCATCCAGAACCCGGGGGAGGCCATTTTGGCCCTGCCGGAAGCCCGAGGAGAGCGAGGACTCAGGTGAGGGGCCAGGACCATCGGGGAGTGGACTGCTGCCTTCAGAGATTGTAGGGGCTGGCAGCAGCGAGGAGGAGGATCCCGAGGAGCCTGTGCCAAGTGCGCGTGTGCGCAGGGTTGCTCGCAGGAAAGAGCAGCTGCAGCAGCATGGGCGACTCGGGAATAAGGCTGCAAGGTAAGGGCTCTTCCTTGAAGATAAAAGCCAGCTGTGAAGCGAACATTCTTTGCAGGAAGCAAAGACGTTTTGAAACTCAGCCTCGTGGACATTACCAGTATCTTAAGTTGGCATTTGAAGATTCTTATTTTGCAAATTATTTCTTATCCGTTATCTTTTGGCAAGTCTCGCTCAGTTTGGCAAGGCTTGTGCTTATCCCAGCTAATTATTTTGTAAAAGCATGACAAGGTTTCTGTTCTTTTTGAATTGGTGTTTGATTTGTCGGGAAAGGGCGTGGGTCAGAACAGAAGCCTCCAGACCCTTGGAAAGGCGAAAAACGCTCCTCCGGGAAATACCAGTAGGCCACGCCCACCCAGCAACTGGGCAGCAAACCGGTTGCTGGGATTTTTGAATCCAACCCCTGCTTTTATCCATGGAACTGACTCTATCGCTATAGGCAGACATAAATCTACTAAGGGCCAAGTGACAGAAACAGATCTCTCCCTGTGCACACTAACCAGAGAGCTCAACACAGGGACTTTAGAGAGGCCTCATTTAAAAAACTGCTTCGGTCAGCACCCCTGTAACAAAGGACCCCTCCAGCCCCCTGCCAGTGGACATTTAACAAAGCATCCTCTGTCGTACCCCTCCAGTCCCCGAGGCCCTAGGGAAATCTGCAGTGGGTCTGTAACAACAGCAACAAGAAGTAGACAGCTTGGCTTCACCCAGGCCTTGCTAACCATCCCGGGCTAGTTGTCGCTCGCTTTAAAAGACATCTTACTGGTGGGAGAAATAATACATGAAATATTGGCTATTTCTACTGCATCCTCTTGTCTTTGCAAAGGCCACAACTGGAAGCAACGGAGATCTCAGGAAGGGATTCGTGACCCGAAGTGCGTTTCACAGTGTGGACATTTGTGCATTTCCAAGTCGCCGACAGCAGGTGTATGAATGACAGGGTGCGTTTGGTTTAAACCAAGTCGATTTAAATCACTAAGTAAAAAAGGCTTGATTTAAATCAACTCAATTTAAATCTTGATTTTTAAAAAGCCACTGTCAATATTGCAGAATATACAGCCTCATCAGAGGTGGATATTCAGCAGGGTTCTGACCAGTTCTGGAGAACCGATAGTGGAAATTTGAGTAGTTTGGAGAACCAGCAAATCCCACCTCTGACTGGCTCTGCCCCCTCTATTTTCCGCCTCCCATCGAGTCCCAGCTGATCAGCTGGGTCTCCTTTTGTTGCTCTGCACAGGAGAACAGAGCTGGAAAGCAGGTTAGTGGGATGGGGAAAGAATGGAGATTTTACAGTATCCTTCCCCTGCCATGCCCACCAAGACACGCCCGCAGAACCAGTAGTAAAAACATTTGAATCCCACCACTGAGCCTCACGCTACATAACTAAGCTCCATTTCATGCTGAATAAACCAAATTATTAATATATATATATCTTAAACAGAAAACTACCTTGAGCTAGATTTTTTACTCCAAAAGCATTTCATTAAAATAACATTTGATAAAAATAAAAAAATCCAATTTCATTTTTTAAAAAATTCTTAGTTTAAAAAAAAAAACCCACCATCAATTTTTATCCACCCTGGAGAACGAGCCGGTTCCTCTTTGTTTTAATCTCCCCGTTTGCGTTAGCTCCATTCTAACAGGCCTCAGGCCCCTGGGGCAGCAGGTACAAGGTGTGCCAAGCTGCATCCAGGAGGCTTCAACACTTCACCTCAGTAGGGTGCTATGCCGACAGCTTGGAAGGAGGTTGTGATGATGCAACAAGGCGACTGGGAGTTCTAGTCCCGCCTTAGGCATGAAAGACGGCTGGGGGACTTTGAGCCAACCGCCAGGAAATGGTTAAGAACCCCGAGCAGTGTTTCTCAACCTCGATTTTTAAGACTTCAACTCCCAGAGTTCCTCAGTCGGCGCAGAGACTATGGAGTTCCTCATAAATTTGAAATGTCTGGCTGCTTACCAGGATCCGAAGCCTATCGGTCTCCTGTCATAATCAGGAAGGTCTGGCACCACTTTACACGCTTCCATGTTCAGGTACTTAAATATGTGGATTTTTCCTTTTATACATATCTAGAAAGAGGGTGTGGGGGGGGAGACAAAGCATTTTTTAAAATTTGTTAATGATTTTATCCCCTGTATTCTATGATTGTTGATTTAAATGTCTTTTCATATTTCAACATTTGTATGCTATGAGACGTCCAGAGTTATTGGATAGAAGATGGGCAGCAAATAAATTTCATAAATATATTTCATAAGTAGATAAATACATTTTGAAAGCAACGCAGTCTATATGAAACCTAAAGCTGTTTTTAAAAAAGATTGGCCAACCAAATCTCCTCTCCTTTCCCCAGAGTGATTAAAAAAGATCAGACCCAGAGATTCAGAATCAGATCAGATATAAAACCAACCACTGAAAATTTACATCCTTGGTTTTGACAATAAATTTGAACTCCTTCTGAAGATTGCAGCACCATTCTAGTATGGATCTTAAAGAAAGAAATCGAACCAGTTCAATATACGATGGCAGGCGGTTAAAGACAGATTGTCTTTAATGGAAGAACATTTTCTATATAAAAGGACATAAACGTCAATTTTGAAGTTTTAATGCCCAATATTTTAATCTTTACAATCTCTCTCTCTCTCTCTCTCTCCCTCTCTCTCAGTTCAGGTATTCTTGGTGGTTTCTTTGTTAACTTGTCTGAGTTGCACAACACTAACAGGGCAAGCCACTAGTACAGTGGTGGCTAACCTTTTTGGGCTCCTAGGCAAAAAAATGTGTGTGCGCTTGCACGCTTGTGTGCCACCACCCAGACAATGTGCACCCCCCACGCCCACTACGCATGTGCGCGCAATCCCCATCTACCTCATGGCCCCCTTACCTACACTGTGCCTCCCAGCGGATTTTCAGCCAGTTTGAGGCCTTTTTCGGCCTGCCAAAGGCTTGAGGAAGGCTTCTGCAGGCTTAAAAATAGCCCCGTTTTGTCACTTCCGGTATTTTTGGAAAAACAGGAAGTGATGAAACAGGGCTAGTTTTCGGCCTGCAAAGCCCGCAGAAGCCTTCCTCAAGCCTCTGGGAGGCCGAAAAAGGCCTCAAACCAGCCAAAAATCAGCTGGGAAGCATGCACAAGCGCAGTGAGATAAGTTTGCCTGCAGCTCGTGTGTCAGCACAACTGGCTCTGCGGGCCACTTGTGGCATGTGTGCCATAGGTTCGCCATCACGGCACTAGTATATAAACAAATTCCATTCCTTTCTAGCACTGATCATGTTATCCAGTCAGGTAATGAAATGTCTCTAGGAAAACAACAAAGCTTAGGCCCATCAGTTCAATGCTGAGCGACAAATTATACCTTCTAACTGCTAAATTCTCTAGTCTTTCTCTGATGGCGCCAGCCTCTGTGTGACATTCCCTGTAAATTGCCAACTGTTTTTTTTTTTTACCTGATATACCATTGGTATACCATTGGTCTCAAATGTGATTTCATAATTTGGTTTAATCAGCTACCAATTGCTGTTTCCTTTTTGGACTTTAAATGCCAAAGCCTCAAGCAGACTCTTTGGAGTTTTGTTTCATGATCGTTGCGGGCTTCGGATTAAGTGGAAGCTACTAAGCCTTTAAGAGGAGGTTGGGAATTTGTAAATGTATATTGACACATAAGCAGTGTTTGGGGATGGCTCCAGGCTTCCTAACTAGGCTACTGAAGCATTATTTCTGAATAGGACCATTATGCCCTTGCGTAGACAGCATCAATTACCGCAACAGCAAAATAATAGACTGTACAGTGATTTATTTATTTTTTTTGCCTCCCGTTTCTGAGGTTTAAATAATAGGATGCATTTCCATGGATCCTCTCTTGTCCAAGTGAGTTCTACCTCAAGAGACTTTGCCCACAAAACACCCATCTAATGCCACAGTCTTAACAGCGATGCAACAGCACAAAAACACCAGAAGGCACGCATGAAGCGAAAAGCCAAGTTTTCTCCATCAAAACAACGCGTTTGGGTTTAGAGGAATCGCCATTTTAGTCACAATTTAAATTTCAAAGACTTGGGGAATACGTTACCTGGGCGGGGGGAGACTGCAAGGGGTTGTTATCTAAGGTGATTGTCTGTAAGTGCCTGAGGTTCCGGTAACACACTGGGATCGTTGTGATTTTATTGCAGGAGAAATCTAACCGAATCAAAGGCAACTCTGCAAGCTCTGCAAGGGCACACACAACACAACAAAAATGTTACACGTCAACTGATTATGGAAGAAACAAGGCATACATAATCTAACAAGCGAGCCCATTTTAACGAATATTCCGCAAAAGAGCAGTGACATTAAAACTTCATTGTGTCTATGTGCGTGTTTTTACCTTCAGGTAAATGTACCAGGTGATTCCTCCTGATATTAAGATCCCGCAAGGAATTTAGATTTCCAATCTGGGGAGGGACTGTTTGGATTTCATTGCAGCTGACATCCTGGAAGACAGAGGGTGGGGGGGGGTGTCAATTTAATAAAATCCATTTTTTCCGCTCATGGTAAGGTTCAAGTCAAAGCATTTCTTCAGAAGGTCAACGTTATTTTAAAGGACTGTCTTTTTCTGGTCACATCTACCCAACCCACCAAGTTGGGAGCAGAGAATACTCCCTGTCTTGTAAGGAGGTCCATCTGGTGGGACCAAGAAGGTCCTCTTCCATAGTAGCTCCCTCCTTCTGGAACATCAGTCCTGCAGAGATAAGATTGGCCCTGACCTTGACACGCTCTGGCAAGCTCTGAAGACCTGATTCTGCCACGGAGTCTGGAGACCCCTGAGGGACGCTGCGTTCAGCAAGGGGCTTGTTTGACTGTTGTCGCCAGGAGGCTGGGGTGCTACCGGTTTTATGTTGGGTTTTTTTATCTCTGTAGGCCCCCTGCGGTCCATGAGAGTCAGGCTGCTAGATTCATTTTGACAGACAGTCAATAGATGGAAGGGGGGGGGGGAGAGACAGAAGTAGATAACTAACTAGATAGCGTGACAGCTACATGAGAGAGAGAGAGAGAGAGGGATGGGTGGGTGGACAGCTAATCTAGATAGATAGATAGATAGATAGATAGATAGATAGATAGATAGATAGATAGATAGATAGATAGATAGATAGATAGATAGATAGAAAAAATAGATGGATGGATGGGTGGATGGAGAGATGGAGATAGATAGAGAGACAAAGATAGAGAGAGGGGGATGGGTGGGTGGGTGGGTGGATGGACAGATTATCTATCTATCTAGATCAGTATCAGATAGATAGATAGACAGACAGACAGACAGACATAGAGAAAGATGGGTGGGTGGACAGACAGATTACCTATCTAGATGATAGATAGATAGATAGATAGATAGATAGATAGATAGATAGATAGATAGATAGATAGATAGATAGATAGATAGAGATAGGGATGGATGGGTGGGTGGGTGGACGGACAGATTATCTATCTATCTATCTATCTATCTATCTATCTATCTATCTATCTATCTATCTATCTATCTATCTATCTAGAAAGATATAGATATACAGTAGACATATAGACAGACAGACAATCTGAAATGGAAAAATTCAGTCAAACTATAATTCAGCAGGACAGAGACGGAGGGAGCCAGGTTTGCACCGGATGAGGTGGGGCTTTCTCTACTCCTTCAGCCCCCTTCAACGTAACACATGCATTGGGGCCCCAGACTAGTTGGCAAAGCCATGTCTTTCGGAAGGCCAAAAGGATGGGAGCGGATCTGACCTCGGCGGCGGCGGTGGTGGTGGTGGGGTAACATGTTCCAGAGGGCGGGGGCCACAGCAGAAAAGGCTCTGTCCTGGACCCCGCCAGCCAGAATTCCCCTCCCCCTGGCACAAGTGGGATGGGCCAATCCCTTAGGGGTGAGCCGGTTTCTCAGATAGCGTGCTCCATGCCACAATCAGAGTTCTCGGAGGACTACCTGAATATATATGATTAAAACTGATCTGCTGTCCTCTCCCAGGGATCACCACCTTGCTGTTTAAATAACCTCCATGCTTATTTAAACAACCTCATGAAACTTAACGAGAAACCACAAAAATTTGGCAGATGTCCCACCAGCTATTAAAACCTCAGAGAAGCAACACGCACGAGGATTGAAAAGTCAGAGCGTGTTAATGGCAATAAACATCAGTCTTGGGATGTAAAGGGGGTAGGTTACCTTCCTCAAAGTCAGGATATCGACAGAGAAACAGAAATACTTGTTTTAAAAAGAAAACAAGAAAGAAATACTGCTACAGGTAAGCCTCGATTTACGACCGCAACTGAGCCACGAATCTCCATGGCTAAGCAAGACAATACTGTCCTACTGTACGACCTTTTTTTGCCACTGTTGTTAAATGAAACGCTGCAGTTATTAAATTAGGGACACGGTTATTAAGTGAATCCGGATTCTATGTGTATAAATCACTTTTTTCAATGCCGGTCTAAATTCAGTCACTAAACAAAGGGTCGTAAGTGGAGAACGATCTGCGTTTCAGGGCAAACTGTGTCAACTTTTGGTAAACCATTCGAATTTTTATCCACCATTAAGGTGAAAAAATTGACTTCGTGGTAGGTAAAAGTTCTAGGTCTCTTTAAGCAAACAAAAATTCGCCCATCCAATCTCAATCCATCGAGAAGCCCAGAATCCAAGGCCGAGCTCGGGAAAGACGCAGGAACCACTTACAAGCTCCATCAGATGTCTCAGATGTCCGATTTCTTCTGGGATGGAGACCAACTTATTGTTGCTGGCGATCAGGACTTTCAAGGGCAGGTTGCACAAGTGGACAGGCAACGTTGAGAGCTGGTTGCGGCTATTCAGGAGAGGGGGGAAAAAAAGAAAAGGAAAGAAATAAAGACGTCAGAATGAGGACCTGCATGGCGTCGGGTCAGAATGCAAAGACCTGATAGCGCATTTTAGTCAGACAAATTCAACAACCTTTTTTTTTTTTTACCCCTAAAGGAAAAAAAATACTTATTTTGGTCCACTTTAACTGAATTCCCAGATTCAAAGACAGTTGTTTATTTGATGGGATCCTTGGTGTGCTCTAAGCTGGGTTGTTTTCTCATAGACCTTTCATTACTAACTAGGTATCATCATCAGTGTTGGGAGTGGGGTTTGCAGAATGAAGTAAAAGGTGGTGGTGGAGGAGGAGGGGGAAGAGGGGGAGGATTGCAGGGTCCGTGGTGCTCTCAGAGCTGGGTGGTTTTCATGCAGACGTTTCATGACCCGTCTAGGGAACATCATCAGTGCTAGGAGGGAGAGGGGCTTGCGAAGAGTGCTACTTGTGGAGTCCTTGTTGCTCTTTGAGCTCGGTGGTTGGTTGGTTTGTTGACATTTCATGACCTAACTAGGTAACATCATCAGTACTACAAGGGGGTGGGGGTTTGCTCTCCAATGTTTATTTGTGTGCTTAAAAAGGTAAATTATTTAGGCACACACACAAAAGAAAGCTGCTTCTTGCTGTATGTATCAGGGGATGCCATTCTGATAAAAGTAATAAATACTTTTGTGGGAACCTCATGAGCTTACAAAACCTGGTAATAAAGTCAAGGGATCCACACAATCAATACAAAAACCATACACGTGGAACCACTGGCCGTGTTCGTTTTTGTTTTTGTTTTTAAATCTACACCAAGGCTAAAGATTGCAAGTCTGCAATTCCACACAATTTAGCTCCAGGAAACAAAGATTGTCTCGAGCTTCTGTCGAGGGAGGAAGCCAGTGTCTCTCAACCTTGGCAACTTGCGTGGCGTTGTAGCTGGGGAATTCTGGGAGTTGGAGTCCACGCATCTTCGAGTTGCCACGGTTGAGAAACACCAGATTAAGCAATGCCTCTGGATGATGCCCTATCCAGCCCAGCGGTCTGTCTCGGTTCGGGATCAACCTTGCACATTCAGGAAGTCATCAGCATGGAGAGGCGGACAAGCATCCCTTTCCGGTGTTGTGGCTAAGGAGGTCATAAGCAGCCACAAAAGTCATCAAGACTCCTGGCTGAACCCACGGGAATTTATGCAGAATTTGACAGACATCCCCGCACCCAATGGCAGCACAGGGTCTCCCGCTTGACCAGAGGGTTGGACTATCCCTAGAAGACCTCCAAAGTCCCTTCCAACTCTGTTATTCTGTTAAGGGTTGCAGGAACTGGGCATGGCTAGTCTAGTGGAGAGAAGGACTAGGGCAGACATGACAGCAGCCTTCCAATATCTCAGGGGCTGCCCCAGAGAAGAGGAAGAGGTCAAGCTCTTCTCCAAAGCACCAAAGAAGGCAGGACAAGAAGCAACGGGTGGAAACTAATCCAGGAGAGAGAAGCAACCTCGAATTAAGGAGAAATTTCCTGACAGTTAAAACAACTCGTCAGTGGAACAACTTGCCTTCAGAAGCTCACTGGAGGCTTTTAAGAGGAGACTGTGCAACCATTTGTGCAGGGGGTTGGACTAGAAGACCTTTAATCCCCCTTCCAACTCTATTCTTCTGTTAAGTAGTTACAGCATCCTTCCTTTTCGTTTGAATGGATAATCGGCGTCCTATTCAGATGATGCACCTGCCTGAAGAGCGCTGCTCACGCAAGCCGTGGGAACCAGCTCCTCCCCTCTGGCAAAGCCGCCCGGTGTTGTTAAGTCTCCCTCTCAAGGTCAACTGGATTGTGTGTGTGCAGTGCACACAAAGGCTTCTGAAAGGCGACAATGCCTCGCTTGAAAGGGAAAACTCCCAGTTCCAACCATGACCCAAATTTGCTCTGTCCACAATTGCCACACCTCGCAGAGTTAGTAGCCTCAATTTGACTGGCTGGGTTTTTTTAATGAGAAGTCAAGGAACTCAGGACACAAGAAGCTAAACGCTGCATTCTTTGATTTTTGCAGGAAATGGGGCAAAACTGCTGTTATACTCCCCTCCCCCCACCAATCCATTAATAATTAAAAAAAATTAAAAAAATGGGTACAGGCAGCCCTCGACTTACAACGGTTCGTTTAGCGACCGCTCGAAGTTACAACGGCGCTGAAAAAAGTGGCTTTGGACCTCACAACCAAGGCGGCATCTCCATGGTCACGTGCTCCAAATTCAGACGCTTGGCCACTGTCTCATATTTATGACGGTTGCAGTGTCCGGGGGGGGGTGTCTCTGATTCCCCTTTTTGTGTCCTTCTGACAAGCGAAGTCATTGGGGGAATCCAGATTCGCTTAACAATTGTGTTACTGACTTCACAACCGCAGTGAAATCACTTCACCATTTTGGCCAAGGAAGGTGAGAAAACAGGGGACAAAAAATCACGTATCGGATGTTTTGCTTAGCTAACAGAAACGCCGGGCTCGGATGTGGTTGTAATTAAAAGGATTATCCATAATCCATGTTGTATTAATTATTAAAAATGGTTCTGTGACACTGAAAGTGATTTACGTGCGCAGCCTTGTTGAAATGTACATCAATAAAATATGGTTAGGCATTTAGTTCCTCTTTATCCTATTCTAGTCCCTTGTGGATCCACTCAACGACTTTGTATAAATCATCTGTCAATCCATCAAATCCATCTATCAGTCACAGTGGTGGGATACAATTTTTTTTACTACTGATTTGGTGGGTGTGGCTTGGTGGGCGTGGCAGGGGGGATGATATAGCCAAATCCCCCTTCCCTGCCCACCCCACTAACCTGCTTTCCAGCTCTGTTCTCCTGTGCAGGGCAACCAAAGGAGGCCCAGCCGATCAGCTGGGACTCAATGGGAGGCAGAGAATAGAGAGGGTGGAGCCAGTCAGAGGCGGGATTGGCCGGTTCTCCGAACTACTCAAAATTTCCGCTACCGGTGGTTCTCCAGAACAGGTCAGAACCAGCTGAAGACCACCTCTGATCAGTCACCTAAATAGTCAGCCTGCAAACCTACCCTCGTCCTGGTGTGATTCCTATCCCTGTCACACAACAAAATTGTTGGAAGTTCCTGATTGGAGAAGTAAGATTTTAAATTAAAAAAAAAAATCCAGTGAAAGAAGAATTTTAAAGCATCCAACATGATAATCACAATTATTTTATTAAAACACAGGGGTGGGGGGTGGGAAGTGGAGACTAAAAATCCCAGGCCCTCATTGCTCACTTTCCTGCAGCCCTGTGTGGCCTCCAATTGCAAAAGGATTTCCTGCTTTTTTATATAAAGAGGAAATTCATGCAGCTGAGAGCTGGTTGCTGAATACGGGTCCAAGAATTTCTCTCTCTATATATATAAATATATTGTAATCAGCGTGACCTGTACCTTCTAGGCATTGTTTTCTTTGAGATACTCTTTTATTATTCGTACCTGTAAATAAAATATATTTATTCCTGTTCCAGGATATAACCCTCAAGGCGGAATAGAAGAAAAGGCCCTAAGAGCACAGGGATGATCAGGGGCCTGGAAGCTGAACCATATGATGAATAACTGAGGGAATTAGCTGTGAGGAGTCCTTGGCGCTCTGTGAGCTGGGTAGTTTTCTTGCAGACATTTCATGACCCAACTAGGTAACATCATCAGTGCTAGAAGAGAGGGAGGGTTGCAGAGAGGAGGAGGGGAAGAGGGAAGAGGAGAAGAAGAAGAGGAGAAGGACTGTAGGATCCTTGGTGAACTCTGAGCTTGGCTGTTTTCTTGCAGGCATTTCGTGACCCAACTAGGTAACATCATCAGTGCTAGAAGGGGTTTGTGAAGAGGAGGCGGAGGAGGAGGGAGGAGGGGGAGGAGGAGGGGGAGGAGAATGACTACTACTGTGGCCCCTTTGTACCCTCTGATCTTGGTTGCCTTATTGCAGATGTTTCATTACCCAAACCAACATGAAAGCCTGCTGAGTGACTCTGGGCCAATCACCAGGAGA